ATACCTTCCCTAAATAGAACATAGTCATTTCCTATTCTTCTTCCTAATACATAGCAGCAGGTTAATATGCACTTTTTATTGTTCCACTTTGTTGTTTTATTCTTATTATGCTATGCCTGTGGCTTTCATAAACGAACAGGGCAATGTTGCTGAATAAAAGTAGAGATGCAGTCAAGTAGAAGCACTTAATTTAAAGTAGTAAGCTACTAAAGGAAGAAAGTTTACTACCGTGTTTCCCCGAAAATAAAACATCCTCCGAAAATAAGGCCCCCCTAGGCTAAACATGAGAGATTTGGTCCACTGATTCTGAAAGAAATGGAGTCACAAGAAATTCACCAGGAAATTCAGAAATTGGATTGTTATGATGATGTTCCAGAAGATGATGACATGATTGTCATTGAATAAATGAGTAAATTCTTGATACTGTAGGATTCAGTTTGTCTGGTTTGTGTTGACAACTACCATACTACCGTACCGTATACAGGTAATAAATTTCCTTTATTTTCATTTAACAATAAATGTGTACCGTATTCTTCTTCATGGAAAAATAAGACATCCCCTGAAAATAAAACCTAGCACATCTTTGGGAGCAAAAATTAATATAAGACACTGTCTTATTTTCGGGAAACAGGGTAGAAGTAAAATCACCAATCAACAAATTTGGGGACTGTGTAATTAAAACACATAGCTCTGAATAAGGAGCTAAGAATTGTTTAGGGTGAACCCTCAGATACATACTATTGTTAAATCCATTTACAGTTTTATTTATTCTATATGTTTGATCATGTTTGTTTGATTTGATTTGGCATTCTTCTATAACATGTCTTATAAAATATTATTTTTCAAACTATCTTTATCAAAATTATCTTGGGGGCCTTCACTGTGAATCTAGTAAATCTGTATTTCTGGGGATAAACCTGAGATTTGCATTTTCACCCACTCCCCAAGTGATTCTTACATATATACAGAACTAAAATCTGAAAATTACTGCAATAGCTGTGTTTGAGTGTAATTCCATTGCTTTTGTAATAATGCCTCCTTTTTTCCCCTCAAGACCTATTTTTTTCAAGACCAAATTAAAAATCAACTATCTAGATTTTTTTTTAAAGACAGTAAGTTGTATCTTCATCTGTAACCTTAGCCCTATGAACCTGCCTTTATTATAGTAATTGTGGGTGTCCCAAAAGTCTTATGCAGATTTAAGTTTCAATAACTTCCCACATATAAATATACTACAAACAGGATTTGAAAATCAAATTATTTCAATTTTTTATTATTTAGTTTTATCTCAAATAAGTTTTTAATTTTAACATCAGTATATGAGTTTTTGTTTCTGTTTTTTTCTTTTTATTGAATTTATTGGCACTGGGTATGTGACAGTGTTTTAGACCTATGGAAAAACTCAGCCATCTCAGTCACCTGATATGTCTCCCTTAGACTTTGTCAAGCATGCATCAGTGCTTCATTCTTTGAATAATTATATGGTTAGGATTATAAATGTAGTCCTTTTAGTCACTGAGGACCAAGATCTGATTCAAGTTTTTGTAAAGTTTGGCATTTAACTTGAGCAACTTACAGCACAACACATTGGTCACGTTGTTTTAATAAGAAATATATTAATCTTTTTAAAATTTAGATTTACTTTTCACACGTTGATTTGTATACTTGTGTGACATTTATACATATAAAGATATTAAAACATAAAACTTTGGAATTTAATATATTTAAAATAAGACTTTGGAATTATTGAAGACTTTGGAATTCTATATATTTAAACTTATTTTGTGAATGCCTATCTCCTTAAACTTCAATTCCCTAAGTCAGAAGTCACATTTTATTCATTTTTATATCCTTAGCCCAATTGATTAGTATTTGTTAAACTAAGAAGAAAAGTACATCTATTGCCCAGTGGTTGAACATTGATCCATGAACCAGAAGGTCACAGTTCAATTCCCAGTCAGGGCACATGCCTGGGTTGTGGGTTTGATCCCCAGTAGGGGGAGTGCAAGAGGCAACTACACGTACAGTCCTGTAAATGAATGATTCCCTCCTGTCATTGATGTTTCTATCTCTCTCACTTTCCCTTCCACTCTAAAATCAATAAAAACATATTTTAAAAAAGTAAAGTACATCTCTTATACATGTCCAACTCATTCAATTATTCAATGTCATTAAATTATAAGATACTTGTATATATTTAATATATCTAAAATTTAGCATCAGACTTATTAGTATATTTAATATTTAATCATATTTACTGTTTCATCCATTGCAGCTTTATCCTTTTAGATGCTCAAATTGCTCCATCTTTGGCCAGTGAGAACTATGGGAATCCCTTTCATGAACCACATAGTTCAGGGTTCCAGTTCAGGGTTTGGGTTCTGGAGAAGGCTGCACACAAATGAAAAGAGACTAGAAAATGTATTAATTTGGCTATATTGGGGGCCAAGTGGGAGCCCACCTCTAGTGGGAGGACTACCCCTGCTCTGGCCTAGTATCCCTTTTATTGAGACTATGGGATACACCCATAGCCCTTGGGCAGGAATCTCCAATAACAGAAATTTACATAAGGCAACAGGTGGAGACTGCTTCAGCTAACAGTGTTTCAACTAAACAGTGAGCGAACTAGCTCTGACCTTTCAGAGCAGTCAACTAATAATGCTTCAACTAAACAGTGAGTGCACTGGCTCTGATCTTTCAGAGCAATGAACTAATACAGTGAGCAAACTAGCTCTGACCTTCTAGAGCAATGGAGATTGTTGACAATAATCAGTTTCCAGCAGAGAACCTCTTCATAGTGACTTCTCAGTCCTACTGACACAATCCACATATAGTCTTTAATGACTTTCTATCTTGTGTCACAATATAATCCAAACTCATCTTGTACATTTCCTATCCCAGAGAAGAATCAACCATTTTCCAAGAAGGCCTTGGAAGTGGCATTGAAGATCACTAGCTGTGGAGAGTTTATTTATTACTATGTTAGCCATCATTTCTATGCTTTTTCAGTGGGCAAAACTAAGAAAAACTTATACATATATGCATACATAACACATCAAGAGACTCTAGGGGTTTTACTTTTTATATATGTACCTGTTTTCTCCCTGCTAAAACTACTTATCAATGACACCAAGAATGATAGTATCACATTGTTCAATTGCTTCATCCTGTAAAACACAACAGTTTTAACAAAATAATAGAATAACAACAGTACTACCAACAAATAATATGATTGTTAAAAATAGTGTAAGATTTTGTCACACAGTTCCTTTTGTTGTATTACATTAGGGATGTGCAAGTAAAATATTATATTTTGAAGAGACTTGAAATATTCTATGTGAATATTATGTCATTAGCAGGATATACATTTAGATAATATTTACTTTTCTCCTTGAGAATCACTGTGTGGTTTGAATATTTAATCATATTGTCTGATTCTAGGAAGGCAGGTAAAGAATGAAACTTGCATCCATTTCAGCTGAAGCTAGCTATAGAGACAGTATAGGGAAACTGGATGACTGCCCAGCTTTTTTCAAATCATCTCTTCCCAGTGCAATTGTGTTTGAAGTCAATTTTGTAAAATTGGCCCCTTCAAATGCAGATGAGAGAACAAATGTACTTTGAAAATATAAATGTTTTATCTACAACTTGGCTCCTCTGTACATAATTCATAATTATTAAGAGTTGACATTATGTTAGTATATAGACAGGTACTGGTACTGTCTATATACTGGTAGCTGCCTCTGGCAAGCTTTACTTTTGTAACAAACTTCTCTTTGGGCACAAGAACTCTTCAGAATGGCAAGGCCCAGTCCATAAACATTTCTATTCGTTTGGGGAATGAATCAGATCTAAATGTAACTTTAAAAGTTCTGCCCCTGATAAGAATATGTACTTGGTCTGACAAGGTATTATGGTGAAATGGCATCATGAAAAACTATGCTGAACCAGATTCCTTTTTGTTAAAATTAAGTTCAGGAGGGAAAATAAAAAGGACAATTATTTCTTGAAATATGCAGTACTATCGAAGATGGATATTTTTTCAAAATTAGTCAAATAATTGACTTTATATTTTGAAATAAAGGTTAGTTTAAATTTTTAAATAAAGATGTAGTAATTAATAGTTAAAAATATATATCATTTATTGTACGTCAAATACTGTGCTAAGTCATTTAGCTCATTTTTTCATTTAATTCTCATAACACCCTAAGTTTCTACTAATATGGGGCCTATTTCATAAATTCCTTGGAAAAAACAGAGCCATAGATATGAGAAGTTTCTAAGCAGAGATCACTTTGCTATGTTACCACTTTATTGTAAGTGTATCAATTGCAGGTAAAAAGACAATGATGATTTTTAAAAAATAATTTTTAAAATAATTTCAGGGAATCAAATTTAGGCAAGAACTATAACTTGGTATTTATTAGTAGTATGTATCAATTCTAATACATAATGTAAAGTATATTAAATACCTTACAATAGTTGCAAATATAAATGTATTTTTGAGATTTTGATATTGAAATAAATGACAGTGTTTTTCTTAATGTTCCAGTCTATAGTAAGTATTTGAAATGTTGGAAGTATTTCAAAAAATACATTTATCACATGTAAAAGTTTAAATAGAAAATGGTTACAATAACTTTCCAGTTATTGTTTTTGCAACTATTTAATGTAAATTATTTAAAGTTTAACATTAGTTAAATTATAAATAAGTGGAACAAGAAATTGATGTTTCTCTTTCTCATCAATCAATCAATAAATAAAAAATAAACTAAACTAAAGAAAATACACAAGCAAAATTGAGAAAATCCCTGTAACTGACTACCAGAGCTAACAACTATTGATATGTTGTGATATAGTATTCCAGATTTTTTCCATTATTGCTCCTTTTGCTTGAATTGTTAATAGCTTTTTTCAAATTGTAGTGTAATTCATAAGAAAGTATTTTAAGATGAATGCTTGATTTTTCTCAAAGTTAATGTGTATGTTTCTATTTTTAGGATTGTACTGTATATGAAACAGAAAATAAAATCCTTCATGTGGTAAGTATACTTGGATTTATTATCATCTTCATTATTTATTATCATCTTCATTATTTCTTTGTTTAACAGTAATTAATAAAAATCTACAATCTATAAAAAGGTGAACCCTGTATATTTCATAGAAAAAGTTCAAAAGAATCAAAACATAACAGGTTGTATTATTTATAATTACTGTATTGTATCTTAGTAGAAAATATGTACAATATTTAGGATGCAGCAGGGTTGGAGTACAGTAAAATAAAGAATCTAGAGAAAAGAGAACTTAAACCAGAATTTTTCATGGTTGATTTTTGACTAGAGATCTAAGAAAATTGTTTGATTGTATAACAGGGATAATTCACCACTATCATCATTTGTATGAAATAACTCATACCGTCATCAACCTGCCTTTGCTCTGATTCTGTACTCACCACACAAATTTAATTTGGCAATATTTGTTAAATAAATCAGTGACTTTGCAGATATTTTATTAGTAGATATGATTGTGAGTACATCATACTTTGCAGAACGGCATATTATTTCTTGTTAATGCACATTTGGCTGCTTTTCTTTGTACATCCATGTCTTGGTTGATGCTCATATGCCCTTGTAACTTCTTCGCCTCTATTAGAAACGAGTGAAATTATATATAACACTGAAGATGTTTAGAAATGCGTGCAATATATTCACGCAGGCCTTGGCCAGTGTGATCAATGGTTGGAGTGTCAGCCTGAGAACGGAAGGGTCATTAAGTACCCTTTTGAAAAAATGTATTTGAATAAGTTTACCATATAAGTAAAGAAAAGCTTAAATTCCAGAATAGTAAAATTATGGTAGCAAAGGACTAAAATGCAACCAGATGAGGTGTTGTCACCCACGAGTTTGTTGAAGTAGACAAGTGTTGCAGGCACACTAATGGCAGCAGCAGAGCCATGGCCCCGAGTAAGTCTGTCAAAAAAACAATGTCTGAAATGGCTTCTCTGGGGTGTTTCTCAAGATTCAAAGACTGTGGGGAAAGGTAGGAATGAAGCATGTTAACTATTTGTTTTATTCCATAGCCATTCTATTTAATCTCTTTTTTTTTTCATTTAAAAAATATATGAGTTCTTTATGTTGGTGTTCTTTTTTTTAATATATTTTATTGATTTTTCACAGAGAGGAAAGGAGAGAGATAGAGAGCTAGAAACGTCGATGAGAGAGAAACATCGACCAGCTGCCTCTTGCACATCCCCTACTGCCCGCAACCCAGATACATGCCCTTGACCGGAATCGAACCTGGGACCTTCCAGTCCGCAGACCGACGCTCTACCACTGAGCCAAACCGGTTTCGGCTATGTTGATGTTCTTGCTAGCATTACATTTGCTGGACACATTACGCATTGTTAAATGCTTTGATGTTCACACTGACTCGGAATGTACAGTCCTTGTTCTCAAAGACTATTTGTTTTTGCTGGGAGTCAGAGGCAGAGTAATGTAGTAGAAAGTGCACCATATTTGAGAGTTAAAAAGATTTGGTGTCCTGACCCCATTCTGGTGCTTAACTAGCTCTTTACGAAGTAAATTAGCCTCTCTGATTACGTTGAAGGATTGCAGCTTCTGTGGTTTCTAAAGGTAAATACCATAATTCTTTGATGACTAACTCACAGAATCAGTAGGAAGCAGTGTGTCCACATAAATTGAAGGATTGTCATCAACTGAGACCACTCTTTTTTTTTAAAACATATTTTATTGATTTTTACAGAGAGGAAGGGAGAGAGATAGAGTTAGAAAAATCAATGATAGTCATCATCAATCAGCTGCCTCCTACATGCCCCCTCCTGGGGATGTGCCCGCAACCAAGGTACATGCCCTTGATTGGAATTGAACCCAGGACCCTTCTGTCCGCAGGCCGACACTTTATCCACTGAGCCAAACCAGTTTCTGCAAGAGACCACTCTTTATATTATCAAAGGCCCCCAATTTTTTCTAAAACTACACGTACAGTCATTATAATTATAAAGATTTCTTCAACAAGTTAATTTAATTTGTCTGGAGACAGAAATCACACAGAAACAAACAAGGGAAGTTTATGCTAATTACCAAACTATGAAAAAAGAGTACTCCTACAGATGTAAAGACTCTAAAGCAGGCCCGAGGACTGTACCTAAGGAAAGGCACTATTCCCAGAGCTGATGTCAGAACTCATTGGAGCAGCAGTGTTGCAGCTTCACTGGCTTGCCTAAGCAAGAGCCGATCCTCAGTGGCCAGGCAAGCAGGAACCAGTCTTCTGGGGTACAGGCAAGTGATACTGCTGGGAGGACTCATAGAGCAAGTGGGGTGCAACTGTGGGTAAGAGGCCGAGAGGGCCACAAGATGGTGGTCACTAAGCCCAGGATAAGGCTGTGAGGTCACTGAGAGACCACATGATCCGGGAACCACTAGATTTCCCACACACATGCATCACTGATGGACCATGCATCAGGAGCAAGAAAAAGCAAAATACAGCACAAGGAGACATGAAGGAGAGGCCTCCTTCCCCCCTGTGATGTCCCTTCACCGCCCTCTACTGACAAAACACTTAACATTGTGCTCACTGTAAACAAAGAGTCCTGTCCATTATCACAGAGCAAGCACTGAAGGGTGAATTTGGAGCTGAGAGCCAATAAATTCATAACTGACACAGTGTGGTTAGCTTTTTTCTCCATAAAAAGCACAGATGGTAACTTTGAATTTCTCAGCTGTAAGTGAAAATGTTGCTCCCAGATCTCTGCTTTTCATTCCCTACTTGCCCATAAACTGTATATATAGCGCCTGGATTTTCCAGAAGCTCACCCAATTATAATGAACTGCTTTACTCCTGCTGTTTGAATCGGAAGTTAAATGAAATACTCTTCCTAATGACCCACATTTTAGTTGAGCTACTAAGATGCCCAGACCCTTGTTAATCTTGAGCCTGAAAGGCATTGTGCCCTCTAATGAGTGCTCTCTCATCTGGCTGGGATCCACTGCAAACCTGCCTGGCTCTGTTTCCTGACCCTGAGAAAGCAAGCAAATAGAATGGAGATTTTCCCAGATCCAGCTCTGGTTTCCAGCTCTTTCCCTATGAGAAATCAGAATGGTGATACCTGCTGTCCCACTTTTAATTCAGACCCAACCAAGATGTCTCAGGGCAGTACTTGCAAGTAAGTTGCAACTGTCAAGGGTACACTTCGTGCTCATCAATGTAGGTACACATTTGGGGCTGACTAATGGTCTCTCACTGATCGGTACTGACCTCATCATTCCTAGCTGATTATTATTTTAAAGTGGTATTGCTTCTTTTCCATTACCAGGTACACAAGGTTTGCATGCTTAATGTCATTGATGACAAAGCCAAATATGCTACCAGAAATACTCTCCCAAGTTGTGAAATCCTTGAACATAGTAGTTGGCATTGGAATCATGTAGCAGATACTTAGTAATTGTTAAGTGAATGAATGGCTTAATGAAGTGATGGTGGTGGTGGTGGTGGTGGTGGTGGTGGTGGTGGTGGTGGTGGTGGCGGCGGCGGCAGTGGTGGTGGTGGCAGTGGTGGCAATGGCGGCAGCTGTGGCAAGGGCAGAGATAACTGCAGTGGGAGTGGTGGTGGTGGTTTCTTTTCATTTTGGTAATTGTTTTGTTGTGTTTTCCCTCACCATCAGAGTTTGAAACCTAAAGGGATTGCAATGTTTTCCAGGCAATGTTAGAACAAAATTCACACGATCTTTATTAATTTGCAACTACAATTGCTTTCTGAAGCTGCTTGAAACTCTTAATTTTGCCTTGTAACATAACTTTTATTTTGAGTTAAAATTGAAACTTTATTCTATTATATTAGTTTTTAAGTTTAAAAAATTGTTTCTCCATCAATTCTCTTTTCTTATATGAGCAAGAAAGTCTTCTTGTGTTGGGGCACGTGTATATAGAATAATACTTTGGAATACCAGTTTAAATTCTTTTTAAATATATTTTTATTGATTTTAGAGAGGAAGGGAGAGGGAGAGATAGAAACATCAATGATGAGAGAGAATCATTGATCGGCTGCCTCCTGCACACCCCCTACTGGGGACCAAGCCCACAACCCAGGCATGTGAATTGACCAGGAATCAAACCGTGACCTCCTTAATGGGTCAATGCTCAACAACTGAACCACATGGGCCAGGCTACCAGTTTAAATTCTGTTTGTGAATTTCACTCTTTTGTTATCTACAATTGTTCATTCCCTGTGTCCTGTTAGTGAAACAACATAATCAGAGGTGTACCATTACTAGTTTCACAAACATCTGGTAAGTACTAAGATATTATACTAAGAATATTATAGTTCCTAATGAGGCTTATATCACCTAGAGTTTTTATTATTTGACAATATTACATATTACAATATTATAATATGTAATGTTTTTCACCAAATACAGTGTATTGTCATCCTAAATTGGCACAGACTTGTATGACTTATAATACTGAATTATATTATTTATTTAAAAAATAAAATAGCTGAAGCTTCACATAGTCATCTAAATAGTAAAAAGTAGTATCTTATAAATTCAGCAATAATAAACTAATGATGTTTGGAGATGATTAAATAATGCTATCTGTTGTTATGGTTAATATATTAATATAGGGTTGCTATTGAATGAACAAAATTAACAAACAAAATAAAAATAAACTCATAGATACAGAAAATAGACTGACAGCTTTTAGAGGGGAGGGTGGTTGGACAGCTGGATGGGAGAGGTGAAAGGATTAAAAAACAACCACTCATAGACACAGACAATAATATGGTGATTACTAGAGGGGGTGGGAAGGTATAAAAGGGTATAGGGAAGATAAATAAGTATGTATTATAGAATGGTACACCTGAAACTTCTAAGCTTTATTAACCAATGTCACCATAGTAAATGCAATAAAAAATTTTTAAAATTAAATTAAAAATTAAAAAGCAGTATCTGATAAATTCAGCAATAATGAAAGAATGAGGTTCAGAGATACTGAAAGAATGCTATGTGTTGCTACTGGTTAATATATTAATATAGGATTGCTGGTTTTTTAATCACCACAAAGACTAAATGTTGTTTTTACAACTCTTTCAAGTCAGTATTTATTTTATACTAAACATGCTATGCTCAGATCTTTTTTCCCTTTAGAACTTTCAGATTTGGGCGAAGCAATCATACACATATATGCAAATAGATATAAAATATAGTGCCTATATATAGAACAGAATATGAAAACTTTCCATCTCATTCTGAGAATGTGTTCTATCCATTATATTGATTCATATTTGAAATTAATATAAAAACTGGAGAGAGAAAATCATAATACCATTAAATCCAACCTGTGACACACTTCTGTTTTAAAAGGTTCTTAATTCCTAGACAACCGTGTCTGTTACTGTTATTCAATCACTAATTTTTTTTGCCATCTTGGTAGATTATAACAGAATCCAGGGGTCAGTTATGACACCATTGCAATTTTGTGTTTCCCTTAAAGGCATATTATTTACTAGGATTTAATTTTAGTTTCATATTATTTATTCTATTTTTAGAACTAAGATAAATAGAATGTAAAATCTTTTGGTATAAATATTGCAAAAATGGCAGAAGAATCTCCCTCATATGAGTGGTTACTGGTCATCTTTTTCCTAGAGGAGCGTGGTTCTTTTGCTGCTAAAATTGCTTTAAGTTTCCCCAGACTATCTTTCACAGTATCAGTTTTACTCCTCCTCATCTAAACTGCATTCTAAATTAGAAGGCTCATCTTATATTTCATTAAACTATGTAGTTTAAACATTACATAATATCCATTTAATACAGACATGAATTTTCAACAATACAAAATGAATAATAAAAAATAAGTTGAGATTTAAAGATCGAAATAAGCATAATGATTAAGAATTCAAGTATTTCTTTTACCAAGGCAATAACCTTGATAGATTTTTTTTTTTTTTAGCCTTTCTTTCAAAAATACCTACTTCAGGAAATTGTTATAAGAATGAAAGAGATAATGACTATGAAGTACTTAGCATTGTGCCAGATAGGTGCTCTAGAGTATTGATGTTAATTTGCAATAATAAAAAGAATGCATTTTTCTTGTTGTATAATAATTATCTTTTTCTAAAATATACTATTAGGTTAACAGTAGGTAACACTTTGTTTTAAAATGATAACTACATAGAATCACATGATTTTATTGAATGCACACATTTAATTTTTATAAGAACATGGTAAATAACTTCCCTGGAACTTTGCCATTGCAGTCTTAATGTGGTTTCCTGCAGTGTCTTGATGTATGCTGCAGTAATGAGTATAGAATTAGCATATAAAGCCAGACCATTTTATACCCCTTCTAATTGGCTTATTTAGTCAAGTGCCAAATACTGCAATATAAAAAGGTTCTAGTGCATTATCTCTAAACAGACAGCAGGGTTCTAGTGGGGTTTCTTTTCTAAGTCTTTCTGTTATTAGTTTCCAAGATCTTTAATCTATTAAATCCTGGTAGCTTTGCTGGTAAAGTCAATGTTTTACAAGTCTTTTGTATTCCCAGCAGATGTAGCATATAGCAGGTATTTGGCAAACAAAATTACTCAAGAAGAGGAATCTGAAACAATATTTTGCAACTTAATATAATAGATTTAAATGGTATTTTTTGTAGAAATGTTTACAGTCTAGTATTAAGGCCTATTTTTCTACATCACTTATAACTGTTTCCAATGTGTGAATAGAAGGGCTACTACTGCTCATCACCAGTGTTATATGAGGCCCTGAATGTTGTAAGGCACACATGTTAAGCCATATATACATCTATTACCTTCCTATTTATTGCTACATTGAACTCTTTTGAAATATGCTTCCATTTGTAGAAACCACAAAGGGTCCTTGATAGCATACACATTAGTAACCTTCAGGTTATTATGCAGTCCAAGTATCTTATATGAAAACGCTTCGGAATTAACAATGTTATATCCCCCTTGAGATTAAGAGAAAATAAGGATGAAGATGTAGCCACATGTGGGAGGAAATTAATAGTTAAAAGATTTAAATATGACCAAAAGTGTTTTTCTTCCTGTCAAAGAGCAGCAATTTGAACTGCAGCCAATTTTTAAATGTAAAGTGCTGCCATTCTGTCCTTTTTCCCATGGCTGCTGCTTATATTTTCAAGAGTTAAAAACACACACCACTTCAAGACTGGGATTCCAGGATTGGCTACATCATAGACAAGACCCTGTGCAAAATGAAAATGTCATGCCCCTTGTTCAAAAATAAGAATTCCAAGATGGCAGCAGCACAGCATAGTGCTAAGTGCAGTACCCGGTGTGACTTTCCTGTAGGCTTCCTTGTTTGGATGGGAAATGGAGATGTTCCTGTTGGCACTGTGGTTAGCAGCTCTTCAAGATAATTTGTATCTGCAAGCATGAGACTTGAGCCTGAGAGAGAGAGAGAAGAGAGCTGTGAACTCTCCACCAATGACCATGCAGTGTGATTACTGGTCATTGTAAGCTGGTCAGCAAGCTCATGGGATTAAGAATAATGACATCATTCATCTCAGGAGTAAGGATTGAGTCCTTAGAGGGTAGAGAAAGCAATAGGGGAGATAAAAAGCATTTATCTAGTGTCTTCTTTTGATAGCAGGGCTCTTTTTTAAATGTACACTATCCTGATTTGTCATGTAAACCATAAAAGTAATTTTTAATACCTCATTTTTTATATGAAGAAACTGAGCCTCAAGGATATAAAATAACCTTCTCATGGTCACACAGCAAGTAATTAGCAATGTGAGTAACACCATAATCAATAAAGAAATATTTTTTTAAAATAGCAATTTGATGATTGCCCACATCTGTCTTTAAGCCCAGATTCTCTACTGTGCCAGCTAATGTTTGTCTTTTAGAGACTGATAGCCACAATAAAAGTGCAGCCTTGAAAAGCAGATGCAAAAAGCAGGAGTGCAAACAAGAAGGGAAATTTAGCCTGGCTATTCCTGTCTAATAAAAGAGTAATATGCAAATTGGCCATCAATCCAACACACAAGATGGCTGCTCCCATATGGTCAAAGATCCTGCCCCCATGTGGACACAAGATGGCCACAACAAGATAGCCAGCAGGAGAGGGCAGTTGGGAGGGACCAGGCCTGCAAAGGAGGGCAATTGTGGATGATCAGGCAAGCAAGGGAGGGCAGTTGGACGGCACCAGGCCTGCAAGGGAGGGCAGTTTGGTGTGATCAACCCTGTAGGGGAGGGCAGTTAGGGGTGACCAGGCCGGCAGAGGAGGAAAGTTGGGGGCAAACAGGCTGGCAGGGGAGCAGTTAGACATCAATCAAGCTGGAATGGGAGTGGTTAGGGGGTGATCAGGCTGGCAGGCAGAAGCGGTTAGGGGCAATCAGGAAAGTAGGCAAGCAAGCAGTTGGGAGCCAGCAGTCCTGGATTGTGAGAGTAATGTCCGACTGCCCATTTATAATACCTCTGTTGCGTATTTTGATGTATAGTTCTTATATCAATTTTCATATTACTCTTTTATTAGATAAGATCGTGGATACAAGAACTATACATCAAAATATGCAACAGAGGTATTATTATAAATGGGCAGTCGGACATTCCTCAAGGGGTCCCAGATTGGAGGGCGCAGGCTAGGCTGAGGACACCACTACTCCTCCCTCCCCCATGCATGAATTTTGTGCACTGGGCCTCTAGGTTAGCATATAAGTGTATTGTGTGCATGTATTTTTTTTTTTCCTGAATAGCTTTTTATATAGATTTAATGGAATAAAGTGCCAAGTTCTGTTACTGTTTTACTTTTCCTTGTAAAAAGTTATAACAAAAAGTAATTAATGTGTTACTCACATTTCTTTATCATATATATATATATAGAGAGAGAGAGAGAAAGATATATAATTAATTTATTTTTTTTTTGCTTTCAGTGTAAAACTCTCTCTGGAGTCTGTGACCACATCATATCCCTGTCTTCAGATCCTCTGGTTTCACAGTCAGCCCACCTGGAAGTGATTCAGCTGGCAAACATCAAACCAAGTGAAGGGCTGGTAAGAGATACCATGTTTTTCAAAGCCACCATCCATCAGCGGAGCTAAAGATGTGGGCAAAGCAGCTTCTGAATATGGAAATCCATGAATTTTAACACATTTTAAACATTTCGGTAATTTTTTCTAAAGGAGCTAAGGTAGTGGTAGTTTGTCATAAAAAATTTTATAAAGATAAATGGAAATGAAGGAAAAGTAAACATGGGGATTTCTGAATTACCCTGTTTACTTTGGTAATAATTTAGCTGTTATTGCATTTTTTCACCTCCTACCAAAGTTTCGTTGGTTTAAATGAAGTTTAAATTAAGAGTTTTACAAAACCCACACTGTCACACCCATGCAAGTGGGTATTTTGTTTGTTTTGCTTTGGTTTGTTCTGCTTTTAATAGGTCTCTGTTCCCTTTGGGTGGGTAAACTAAACAAATGTGATATTCTTTATCTCTCACATCCATTATTTCCTGTAAGGATGAGTAAGAAGCCTAGTTGCCAAAACTAGGCTAACATCCATGAGATGCAATTTTTTAATTATATAACAACTAGAGGCGTGGTGCACAAAATTTGTGCAAGCGTAGCCTCCCTTCCCCCAGCTGCTGGTACTAGTTTCCCTCTGGCACCTGGGACCCAGGCTTTCCTTGCAGCCCCAGCTAGGTCCGGAAGGTCGTCCAGAAGGACGTCCGGTCTAAGTTGCATATTACACTTTTATTATTATAGATAAAGGTAGTCATCTTCTATGTTTTGTTCACCTGGATAAAAAGGATATTGTTTCTAAATATAACCCAAGGGAAAGCTCTTCATTACAACTTCAGAAAGAAAACATATACAATTAATATTAATGAGACAGAGACAATGGACAACTACAAAAGGTCTGCTGCCAGTTACAAGAAAAAAAAAAACAAGAAGCTGGCTGGAGAACCTCTTACCTATAGATAAATTTTCCAAGGGTATATACAATAAATGATATTTTAGGAAATAGATATCTTGGAAGTTAGCATTAATAATTTAATTCAGAATAAATATTATTAAAGATCTTTAAGCAGCTTTAATTTTTATGCGGTGTTTCTTCTTTAATTAAAGATGTATGTGTACAACTCTTTCAGAGGGCAAACCCTTCATTGGCCACCAGTGATTTTTCAGTTTAAAGCCTTCTCTTCTATAGAGTGACTTTTCTTCTGATATTTGGAAATTTACTTTTGGATAATAGTAGTTCCTCAGGCTTCTGTGGCTTTTATTGGTGTTTTCCTGGAATGATGGAAAGCAGCACATCAAACATAACCAGCAAGCGTGTCATCATTGTAACCTATGTCTTATATCTAACTTTAATTAGTTTTAAGAGCTTATTTGGAACATTTATACACTTTTTTGAAGTATTACTTATGATTTTAAATTCTTACTATTCCTTTAGTCTAGTTTTATTTAAAGCATCTTTCAACCTATATAGTATTAAAGATTTTTCTTTCTACAACTCCCTTTCAGTTGTTCTGAAGGAAAAGAAGCTGTCTAAACATGATTTGTAGAGTGGGAAATGATGAACTAACTAGGGGCCCAGTGCACGAGTTTGTGCACCTTGAAAGGAACTGTGGGCCTTGACAAGGCTGCGGTGGGCACAGGGACAGTTCTCAGCCCATCCTCTGCAACCCTGCTTGGCCCCTCCCCCCACAGCCTCCATATTCCCCTGTCTGTTAGACTAGATCATCTTTAAAGCTCTCTCTGGTTCTAATGATCCTGCAGTTCTAAGGATGGCATTGTTCTGAGAACAGACCTGATTATTTTCCTCTAATTGCTACCGAAATCATGGGGGACAGAGGAAAATAGCTACATGAAGTGAGTCAACAGAATGCTAATTAATGGACTTTAGGAAATCTTGACTTTTTAAAATGAAGTTATAGCTCTGGACAGGCTTTTTATTTTTTAAATTTGAAAGGGGTAAATCTAGATCTGCTCTTGGGAATAGTCATTAACATAAAAGACCAAGAAACGGATTCAGTTAAATAGTCTGGGAAAGAGCTAGAAGATAAAAAGGAAGAAATGTGTTTAACATTTCCCGGGTATTTTCCTCACAACGCTATACAGTAGGTGTTTTTCTTCTCATTTAGCAAATGAGAAAATGGAATCACAGGTCTTCTCCACTTTACCCTGTGTCACATACTGATAACATACAATAGAGGCAGGGTTTCCATCCAAGTAAATTAAATGAAGTACATCTGAATAAAGCTTATTCCATTATCCCATATATAAACTTGGGATTGCTAGGGGAGGTGTGAAGAGTTTAGGAGGGTGACTTTAAAGCTTGACCTATCTCAAGTGACTCTTTTTTAGAGGACAGTCAGTAGCACTTCATTGGAAAGATATTTCAGATGGAGAAAAAGAAAAAACTGAAATGTTGAATATTCATAAGTGTTAACTACAAAACTATTTCCTATTGTTTATGTTAAAGGGGAGATGACTAAATATTTCACATGATCTCATTTTTGAAATTAGCAACTTTTAATTAAGTTTACTCAGTCACATTTGAATAAATAGATTTGAGGGTTTTGGTAACATTTAGCTTGTGCTTAGCCATAGGAAGTGTATAAATGGTAAATGAAGGAAAGAAATAGAAAGCGGTGGGAGAATACCAAGCTTTAATGAAGTTTAATTAGCTTAGAAACATCTGCTGAACGGCTTCTGCCAGTTTCAAAACAAAGGCAGAAGGTAGCTGCTTTGTTCTTTCACTGATAAACTGGATAGATTGTTCATCAGCTTCCTGCCTAATTAGTCAAATCTCCTAGGATTTCTTAGATTTGAGAGTCCTGACCATTATAAGGAATGGTGGGGAGCATGCTTATTTATGATTTTAAAATATGGAACTCGTTTCTAAAATGTTTTTAAACAATAATCAGCAGGAAATTAAAGAAGGAAATGACACCTAAACTTATCTAAACTAGATTAGAGCCAACAGCTGGATTGAAGAGAAAGGATATTATGGGCTGGGGTCATCTTTGGGGAAGCCGTGGCCTCAGAGAGTTCTTTCGCTATTTAGGCACTTGGACTTTCTCCATATATTCCTTATTTCATTGACGTGATTGTGAGGTTTGGTTTCTATTGGCTAACCAATATTTGGGGATATAGTGAAGTAAATGTCATTTTGGTAAGCCAAGCAGGAGACAGGGAGCTGTTCAAGTAAGCTCCAGAATTGTGTGTGTGTGTGTGTTTGTTTGTTTGGTGGTGTTTTTGTTTTGTTTTGTTTTGTTTTGTTTTGTTTTGTTTTGTTTTGGCGGGGGTGAGGAGGATGAAGATTTTTATTGAATGAACACAGATTTGTCTCAGTTTCAAAAAAGAACCATTTGAATTATTTTTTCTTGCTATTTCACCCTTTCTCAGAGGTGAACAAGTGATCACATGTAGTTTTTTAATCTACATTAATCAGAAGTTGACTAGTTCAAAGCTCATCCAAGCAACTTGTTTCTTCTGTTTCTTTTAGTGCCTCATTTTTAGCCACTTTGTCTCATTGGTACTCCTAGAGAGAGGTCAAAAGGATAAAGAAAATTGTTTTGATTTTTAAAAGAAATTACAAAAAATGGTTTATTGAAGTTAGAAGTGAAAGTATTACATAAAACAAAATATCTTCATTATTTGTAGCATTTTTAAAATATGCTTTATTTCCATTCTATTTCTCGTAACTTTGAAGTTGTTATAATTGAAATCTCTATACATAGTTAGATCTTTCTTTATTTAAGCATTTAAACGTTTTTATCCATCTGAAAAAAATTAGTTTTAGTATAAATTATATAACACTTAATTATGCATAAATAATGATGAAAGCCTATTCCTATAACTAATAGATACTTGCTTTCGCTTGCAATTGCCATTTTTAAGTTCCTGGTATGCACAATAATTACACATAGATTTTTATCTCCAGAGCCATAACTAGATTATCACCATGAGTTTTTATTATCCCAATAAGTATAATGACTTTTTCTAAACATTTATCTCTTAGGATACTAGACTTTCTCTATGATCTAATTATTTATAAGATTATTTAGAGCTCTTGTCAACACACTAATTCATAATCAATAATGCACAGTGTTGAAAGAAATGTGGAGAGAAATATATTCAACTTTACCTTACATTGTCATAAGAGATGGGTGATTAAAGTAAATTTGTAAAACACCATATTCAGTTACTCTTTATAACCACATTGCACATAATACATGTGTGCTGATCTTATATACGTAACCCATAGATACAGACACAGTAAGGTGATGGCCAGTGGGAAATGGGGGTGGGGGCTAGATAGAGGGGGTCAAAGGGATGGGGGAAATGGGGACATCTGTAACAGTATCAACAATAAAAATAAAGTTAAAAGTTCTTCGTTTTTAAGAATAAATGTTGAACAGTTCATGTTTGACTTTAATACCTATAGTTGTCAAATATTAAATTCTGATAAGAAAAGTGAAGGTGTACAATTGTCCTAACTCTTAATCAATAAATTAGAAGCCTAGTGTTGAGACTATGGTATGGAGTCAGAATGCTTAGGCTTAAAAACTGACTTCACCACCTTGGGCAGATTCCTCATCCTCAAAGGCTGCTGTGTAATGAATGTCAAATACTTAAAACAGTCCCTGGTACATTATAACAAGATATTATATCCAAGAAATATATATTTGGTTTTTTCACTGTCTTTTTTCACTTTATCTTTTCACAATCCCTCTATTTTAAAAAAAACTTTTTTAAAATAAATAAAAACGAAAACCAAATTTAGTGTTTGTCTGTTACAAATACACTTTAAGATTCTTTATTAAATATGTAATTTTGTTAATTCTCAGGGGAGGGGGGAATAACTAAGAATCGTGTCCTCTCCTCTGCTGAGTTCTATAATATAATAGTACTCTTATAGTTACCTTCCAATATATAATGGACTAAATAACTTCAGAAGTATGTCTTATACTTGTTACCAATGTAAGCATGAATGTTACCATATGGTCATAGTCAAGGACTACTAACCAATTTCTTAATTAATTTCTATTTGTACTTGTGTTGAGGTTAGTAATTTATTTTACATAGAGAAGAACTTTCATTTAAGAAACTAGAGTTCACAGGTAAGTAAACATCTTTTAAAATAACATTCATTTTGTTTCACATTGGAGAGCCAGGCTCAGGCATTTTTAGAACCGTTACCAACGTTTTGAACACAGTGAGATTATTAAATTACTTTTCAGAAATAAAATCTACATGGTGACTTCTTAATAATTCCATACCATCAACTTTACTGCTTCTTGTTTTTATTTCTTGCATATTACCAATGAAAACACATGTATATTTAGGCCTTTATATATATAACTATCATAAAGGTATGGGAAATTAACATTATATTTCACATTTATTAAAATTGGTTTTTATTGAAATCAATATTTTGCAATGCAAAGCACTTTTATATGTAATGCTCAGGTAATTTTTCCCCAAAGAGCATTTAAAGCAATGGAATCTTTAGAAAGGAAAAAAAGCCATTCACTGAATAATCTATTTTTTTCTGATTTACTTAAATAAAAATATTTTAAAATTAAAAATATGAATGTTTTCTTGTGATATTTTTTCCTTTAAAGTCCTATCAGTGTCCATAATTTAGAGTTTTTATTTGCTCTAAAAGCTTATACAATTTCAAGATTCCTGAATATTATTTAATTTTAATGAAGCTTTTTCAAAAATGACTTTATTTAAATGGAAAAATGAAATCCCATCCTCTTTATTGGGAGAAGTGGTTGCCACACATTACCTCTTAATTATTTATATAGAGATGATTTGATGTAATTATTAAAATGGCATCAATAAGAATTAAAGGCAGAAAATGCAAGATACCACAAAAGAGCAGGAGAAAAATGTTGATCTTACAAGTATTTTATCACTCTTCTGTCTCAGTAGTTGTAGTTGAAGTGGCTCTGTAGAAGCCTACTTTTTATTGTGTAATATGTAGCAATTATAATAAGCTAATAACATACCAATGTTAGAATTTTTCATTGTAACTTTTATTTTGCCACAAAACATATAATACAGATTGGGGGATGGAGGGGAGTGAGGTGTGTTCTTTCTTCAGAGTATTGCATTATGATACTGCATTTTACAAGTTTTATAGGCAATTCACTTAACAAGTATTTATTTGATTAAGCTGTATATAGCTTTTTGGGGAGCAAACATTAGAAGTCAGCACATTCAGATAGGAGTTTCTTACCAGTTTAAAAGACAGTGTTATTGAATCATGGATTCATTCCTGGGGCATGTGGCAATTTTAATTTGATAAGGTGGTCAACAGTATTGTCATAACTATGTATGGTATCAGGTGTGTACTGAAAATATCAGGGGGAACACTTTGTAAGGTATATCATTGTCTAACTGCTACTCTATACACCTAAAACTAATACTAAATAATATTGAATATAAATTATAATTGAAATATAAATTTTTAATTTTTTTTTCAGCAAAATAATTTGATAGGGTAATTTTTGTAAATGAGATTATGATATATTTGGAAATATTTTAGTTGCTTCACTGTTTTTCTGATGCTGTCTTTTTCTTAGGGTATGTATATTAAATCAACGTATGATGGCCTCCATGTAATTACTGGAACTACAGAAAATGTAAGTATTGTAACATTTCAAAGGTTTGATTTTTCCTTGTATTGTCAAACAGCTTACATGTCTCATATAATTACATAATTGACTTTTCAGGGCATGAACTAATTAGGAGACAAAACTGAAAAGACATTGAGTTAGTTATGTCTTTGGGAGAATTTCAGTTAGTTTATTTAGTTTAGAATAGCTATTTACTTAAAGTAAATCAGATGTTTTCTGTTTGCACCCAGAGATTTGTCTTTGTTAATAAGTATTTTCTGGTTCATGACAAGTTATTGTGACATCCAAAAGAATCCATCTCCATCTGTCAAATAGTTTATTTATATTAAGAAACTTAGCTCACACAAGAAAGAAACATCAGATAAGTCATGCTTTCTGAATACTTGGTGTATATTTCAGCTTAACTTAGTGGATGAAGCATGATATAGCTCAATGGTTTTCACAGTGAGGACCTTCCTGGATAAGCAGTATCAGCCTCTTTTGGGAACTTGTTAGAAATGCAAATTCTCAGACCCAGCCAGTAAGAACAACTGCTGGCAGTGGGTCAGAGTGAGTCTCTGGTGCTAGGTCCTACAAACAGTTCTGCAGCTTAATGGCAGTGTAATTTTTGGCAGATCACTTACCCTTTCATTAAATTGTTTTCCTGATCTATAAGTTGGAAATAATATCGTATGTACCACATACCTCTCTAAGTTGGGAAAGTCAAATAAGCTAATAAATGTGAAAGACTATGCTATAAGAGCTACAGCAATGTGAAGTCATCCTGTTGGGCATTAATAGGATCAGTATAACAGACTTGAATTGCATAATAAATCATTATTCCTGCATTGGGTTGTCCCAGATTTCCATCCTACTCTTTCAAGGAGGTGCAAAGCTTTGAATTTTTTTTTTCCTTTTAGAAATTCTGACAAATTGCATGCTTATGTTGTATTCCTTCAAAGAAGACCGAGGTGGATTAGTTAATCTCAAGTTTTATTGCTCTCAACATTTTACTAGCATTTTCTTTTTAAAAAATCAACATGATCACCTAAATCTCCTATTACTTTATTTACTGACCCCCTTTGTCATCTCCCTTGCATCTCCTGGTTTTTGTGAATGATGAAATACATAATAAGTTAGAGTTAGGTTGCTGTGCTGACTTCACTTCTGGTATTAAATGAGAGGTAAATGGGATCAAGAATGTCATTTAAATGAATGTTGGAACTATTTAAGTTTTTTAATGCAGTGAGATATTGTAAACTATATGCTTTTCATTGATCATTCTCATATACTTATGTATTCATTTTTTCTTTTTAACAAACCTTTGTTATATGTTAAGCACGGGCCTAGATATTGAAAGAGTTTAATAATTAAACTAGCTTTGTCCTTAAGAGTGCAAGTAGGGGGTTATCTATGAACAGGCTGTAAAATTTGCACAGATGGACAAAAGAAAGAATAGTAAATACAGCCAAGTGAAATCAGAGAACAGAAATTAAGATTTTGAACTGTTTCTTGAAGAATTGGTAGGAACATCATCCCTGTATTGTTTGTTGTCTAAAAAATAAAAGTTGAGTACTATGCATTGATCATAGTAATTAGAATATTTGATAAGTGGACAAGTTATCAAAGAAAAATTGTTTCTGTGAGTACAGATATGAACCTAATATTAATAGTCTGTCACAATTCTTCTTTTTTGTAAAAAGAATTTTTACTGTTTTTGGTACCCTCAGTCATTTATCATTAGGCGTCATTTATCAATAGCTGCTCACTAAAGTGACAAAGTTACTTTGCTTGCTATGCCCTAGTTTCTTATTTTCTCATATAGAAAATGAAAGATTTAAACAAAATGACATTTAGGATCCCTTTTAAAACTGGAAGTCTATAATTTATAGCACTTCGTCACTTTTTTACTTATCTGTACAAAAAGTCACTTCCATTTCCTTGAATTTTATATATCAACTATCATTTTCTTTTATATCATGATTGGAGCCACTAGCTTGATGTTTTTTTTAATACTGTCCTTTAAAAAATCAATTGTTAGCCAGATAGCACAAGGACTGACTCTATAGTTACAACTCTATTACAATGATGATTTACACACTTTACAGAATTGTTACATGCTATTTGTCTCAATTGATAATATACCCACCTCCTAAAGATACTGTAAAATAAATACAGTATTTTATTTATTTTGTCATTTTTCTTATGACACCATTCTTATGGTTGGCTAACATCCTAGATGAATTACTCTCTTAATTGTATACTTGTGTTATTACTTTGTTCAAACTAGAATTTTCTATGAACTCACTTTGTCTTGAGTTCTAGCCTAGGGCAAATAATTGTTTAGTGAATTTTGAAATTTGTTGAACTAAGGTTAATATTGTTTTGACTTTTGTTTTTTAAATAATTGGAAGTGAATTTTTAAAAAGGAACTAGAAATCATTTTAAAGTAAATCCTTTCTAAGGTCTCAAAGGTAGCATTTTACCTTGTAATTCTATCATCATATCATTCTTCATTAGCTTTCAATAGATTCTAATGAATAAATACTATATTGTTTATACTAGTAGTTGTGTTTGATAAATTAATACATACATAAAAATGGACAAACATATTTTTCATTAAAACACTTTTTTCTGTATATTCAAAAGTTCATACATATTGCAATATGTATAATCAATAATTAGTAGTCACTTAGAGAAAAAGAAAGAATAGTATTTTAAATTTACTATCCATACCTATATTACTAGTATAAAATTTCCATCTTAAATCTCATTTTAGTTTTCTAAAGATTTCATAAATTTGTCAATATTAGTTTATCCAAGTTGGTTTTGCTTTTGTTTGTTTTTGTTTATAATTTCTTAGAATTTTTAGCAATTGATGGAATTATTACCTCTTGTGGAAATGTAGGCATTTTAGTTTGTTTATTGTGGTTTTGTTTGCAAATGTATTACACTGTATGAAAAATATGAAATGGAATGTTATTGTAATTAAACATTTAGATAATGTTATATAATGTAACTGAACTAATGGCTATTCATCTATTAACATGCTTTTCTAAGTTATTCAGAATTGATAGTAATTATTATGAAATAAATTAGTAATCTAATCATCAGTTGACAGAGCTTTGATGTTGATCATAGCATGTACTTGAAAACGTTTATTTGCTAAAGTTAATGTGAATTATTTGTATTAAATAGAAAGGATCGCATTTTAAAACATAATGTTTTTAATTGTATTTTTTTATCTAGTTACCAGTAGAGCCTAGTATAATAGAATTTGTCTGTATAAAGTTTGTACTGGCTACTACCAGTTGTTATTTTCCCTTAATGTTCTCAGAAACATATTGGTCTTTTATAACATTAATACCTATATATGTTTGCATTTCTACTTCCTACCATTAGTTATACATAGAATGCAAATAGTATATTAAATATTAGTAAACTTTTGTTAGCTTAGTTCCTTGAAGATTATAATTGAATTATTGATCTAATTTAAAGAGATGAACTTATTGTACTGTTTTAGAAAGAGGAGATGAGTGATAAAATTTATGTTCTTTTTCATTTCTTTTATGTTAAATTTAGTCACCTGCAGATCGATGCAAAAAAATCCATGCTGGCGATGAAGTGATTCAAGTTAACCATCAGACTGTGGTATGTATAATTACTTTATGAGTCAGTGGGAGGCACTAATATAAAGTTTTGTTAAAGCTTTAAAAGGATATCAATGAAATCAAATGCCTGTTAAGTATAAAATAATTCAATAACCTTTATAAAACATATCTGAATGACTATTCCTCTTAATTATTTGATGAAATGTTAAGATACAGTTTTAAAAGAACATGAGGAATGTGGGTGGTGGCTGAGGTTAGATATACATTGCTATATGGACAGGTAGTGTATAACATTATATACCCCAGGGACTGAGGTAATAATTTTGGAATAGAAATTAAAGTAACAATAAATACAAATTCATCCTTTTCTTGATATAATTTTTAAGTCTTATTTTACAAAGTATTTAATGACTTAGTTGATATGTTTTATAATAGCATGCCTTCCTTCATCTACTTTAGCATTGATTTGCTCATTAAATTTCTTGGTATATTGACTTATTTTAAATGTCGATTTAAAAAAAATATATTTAAACATTAATAGCTGAAATAGCTCTTCATTTCCCAAAAGAGAGATGCTGTGTTAGTTTTATTTTTAAAGAAATATGTTTTTATTGATTTTAGCCAGAAGAAGGGAGAGGGATAGAGAGAAACATTGGTGAGAGAGAAACATCATCTATCAGCTGCCTCTGCATGCCTCCTACTGTGGATTAAGCCTGCAACCCCAGGCATATGCCCCAACTAAACCAGTGAGCTCTTGGTTCAACCAATGAACCACACGAGCTGGGCTACAATAAGTTCATAAAATTTTCTTGCTTTATGAACCTCACGGATGCTTTTCTAGGCTAAGAATGACTGTGGCATTCTGTGCCTATGGTAGATTTTCAAGGGCTATTGTTTTTCATCTCAATTTAGAAAATTAACATATGATTTTTATTTTAGACTATTTTGTGTCTAGCTTGGTTCACTTTGTTCTCCTATCTCTGCCAAAATGAAATGATCTAAAAATGTAGATAAAATAATCTGATTATTAATATAATAATCATTTGAGAAAAATTGTTTTATTCCGGTAAATATTCTTATAGGTCACTAACTCTTCAGAGTGAGTAATAATTTCCTGTTGTATGTTTAACTAAATTTGCTTTTGCATGTTCTAATCATAGGAGAAATTTTAAAAAGAAAGACTATTTTGGGGAGATTAGAAGACTTGTGTGAAAAATCTGATCTTTCTCAGTGATTCTGATCTTAAGGCAGAAGCCATTTTAATGCTGGTTTTGAATAAATTGAAAAGTTTGTGATATTTTGGAGAGACTCCTAAAAACTGATAATTAAAGTTGTGATGTTTATTTAATGAGTTCATTATTTAAGTGAACAGAAGTTAATGAAAGTTTAAAAATTAAACACGTGGGTGTGAGATTAACAAGAAACAATGTAGAACGTTGGTAATTTAAAAAGCCTTTTTACACTATGACAATTTTGATGATGAGAAAATTGTCGTTACTAGAAACTATACAAAGTGGTTGTCCTGACTAAAGTTAACTTGTCCTCTCGAATGAGGATTTGGGTAGTGGGGTAAAGCAGCTGCTTTATTAGACAGGCAGCTTCTCCTAGATTCATGTTGCCTCTTTTTCTCCAAATTGACCTTAACAAACATGACATCCATTGGATATTGGACCAATTTCCCTTTAGCCAATTCTAAGAGGGTAGAAATGATTCGCTAATGAAAAATAAATTGTATAAAGAGTACTCTCTGTGGAGCAAAGATTCTGATATTTATCAAATGAATATGAAAGTTTTTAAGAGCTACAAGTAAACTAATAAAATCTATATGGATCGGTGATATTTAAATACTGTGAGAATATATAAATATATCTTTGCATCACAGGAATATTCTAAAATGTTGGAAACTGCACAGAATAAGGGTTGGAGGAACTTGCTTCCAGTTTTCACTCTGAAACTAACTTATGGTTTTAAGAATCATTTTCCCTTTATAGAACGATAATAATCATAGCCAAAACTTTCTGAGTTCTTGTAGTGTGCCAAGCATAATATTAAGTATTTTGCTTATTTTATCATTTATTCTTTACACAGATCCTACAAAGAAGGTGTATGTGAAAATTGAAACTCAGAATGATTATCTAACTTACCCACAACTAAAAACTCTATGAATCTCAGGCCTATGCTCTTACTTTAATTTTATTATATTCCCTCCCCAAACTCAAATTATAAAATTATCAAACAAAAGAGAAAGAATTCTAACAATCATCTAAGTAAATCTCAGGATTCAGTGAGAGATTAAGTGAGACCAAGGAAAAGAGAAGAGGAAAGTAAGTGAAAATTTATATAACTGGGGTAGAATCAGCTGAACTGAAATTAGAAATGGTGTTGAAATTTAAGTTTCTCACTTCTTTCCTGCAGATAGATATGTAAAATATCACAATGCCAGGCACACATTAGTGGCTTAATAAAAATTAATTTTTGTTCTCCCTCTCCTTTTACCTGCTACAACAGTTGGGTCAACTGGAGTCCAGTTTCTTGGCAGACTGCTACTAGAACCTACTAATTGATTTTGAATAACAATGAAGACATTCTCTAATAAGAAAATATGTTAATCCCATTAATATAGTCTTCCTTAATAATGTGATCAATTACCACATCTTTGTGTTCAAATGAGAGGCATATTTGTGCAATAATGGTACATTGCATAAAATACAGCCTGCTCCGCCCTCTTTTTCTTCCTGTAGCCTGCATTGTGGTCTATATAGTGCTTTTAATTTTTTACTAGACAATATTCAGAGATGGTGAAATGGGAATTTTCTGGATTTTCTTACTAAGAAAAATTTGGTAGGTAGACAAATTGGTTGAAAAAAGTATAAATTGTTTGTAGTCTGCAGTTACCCTTTCTATCCTTCCAGGGACATTAGAGGTTGGTTATGATATAATAATTACATCAAAATATTGCTTAACATATTTGAAATATATATTTAATATTTTAATCCAGTAACTAATTGGCCAAAATAGTGAGATATTGTTATTATTTTTTAATATTTGGACTCAATAAAGAAAAGAAAAATGTTCAGTCTTATATTTTAAATATTATTACCTCAGTTAGTAGTTAGTATTCACCTTTAATTCCAAAATTTCCTACTATAGTTAGTAATGGTTAGTAATGTACAATATAAACTCTCAATTCAAATTGCTTACTTTAAAATATATAGAAAAGCAATTCGATTTTTTTCCCCTAAGAGTCTGAGAAAGTTGAATGAATCATAGATGAATTCAAATACTATTTTTTTTAATTGCTAGTATGATATATCTTCAAGATGTCCAATTAGATGTGTTTCAAGTTTATTCTTTTTTTTAAGTATATTTTCTTATTTGAAATGAACCTGGAAGTTTTATGTTCTTTTTCATGTTGCTATATTTTTTTATTATAAGTGGCTTTTAAGCTTTTCAAATGAACACACTTCTGTGGCTGAGAAACTGTGGCTGCCAGGTAGGAAGAAGAAAAATTCATGAACATCCAAGCAAAGCAGACTGAGTCCTATTGCATGTCTTCCCCGCCAGTGAAGATCCAACTCCTCAAAAGCTGCCGGATTTTTTCCACTTCATCTGCCACTACATCCCTCTTTCTGGGAGATACCTCGGCATTGCTTGAACAGCAACTCTGCCCTCATGATGCACTTTTAACTCGTTTTTTAGCTGATGAGACTACTTAATACTTACAGTTATCTATTTGGGCATATTCCTTAATGAATCTGTTAAATTTCTTGTTAATCCTCCTTTTGGTGTGTAAGTGTTCTATAGCTTCCATCCATCCTAAAAACGGATATTTTCTCCTTAGAAATATAAGTTGAAAAGAGTGAGATGTGTGATGGTTGAATCCAACATTTGGGGAAAAAATTCCTTTTATTTTTGTGTAAATATTAAAAAATATTCCTATTTTGAAAGGTCTTCTGGAACCTGGTGACTACATTCCATCAAGAAATTATTTAATAGATGTGGCTATAAAGGCTACTGGAATGGAAAATAACCAGTTTGGGATGGTTAAGAAGAAGATAGGCTGCAACAAGTAGTCAGGATATTGGGTATTGACTAGGGAGAGATGGAAGATGAGTACGATAAGCTAGTGGTTCTCATGAGCCCTAAATGGTGAACATTGTTGAGCAAGATTTCAACTGGTGATGGCAGAGTGTGGAGGGGATGGGAAGGAACAAATTAAAGGACTATTGTGTCATCTGTGAAGTTCATTCTGACTTCATTTTTATAATTCTCAAAGGTGTCTCCGTTACTCTCTTATTCTCATCCCAGTCTTCCATTTTTCTCCCTATTCTCTTCCTTGAACCCAAAACAGCAGTATTGATTAATGGGATAGCCAATGTAGTCAGACTGGATGGACAGTGTGCTGACCCGTTAAAGCCCAGCTCTCCCTAACCTTCCCTCTCACCCTACCACCCTGCTCCTGGACTTCAGCAGTCAATACCACGATATTGGCTAACCATAGATGTGCTTTCTCTCTCTATTTTTAATTTACTAAACCAGTGGTTGGCAAACTGCGGCTCACAAGCCACATGCGGCTCACAAGCCACTGTTTGCCGCTCTGTTGACTAATGAGTTTGCCAACCACTGTACTAAACTGTTGTCTTTATTTTTTAGACTTTTCTTCTAATTTAATTTTTTCCTTTTTCCTTTACCATCTTCATCTCTTCTCACTTAACTATTTCTCTTAAATGTTTTTATTCTTGCCTATTTTCTTCTGTTCTCCTTTGTCAAAGGAGAAAGTATTTATCTTATAATTCTTTATATGGAAAATATTGAAAACTGAGACCTCAAACAGCAGTATTTCTGATGCACCTCACATCTGGCGAACACAAGATGTTGCTGAGATTAACTATATTTGCATGGTGTTTAATATATTGCTTAAATAAGTAGTTATCATAATACACTAAAATACTGTGTTAGGATTCTAAGAAATTGGTATTCTAAAACAGCAGGTGAATTGTTCTCTTTAAGAAGAGAAAATCATGAAGAGACATTTACTAA